GGGGACCCCCCCCCCCCGGCCCCCCTGCCCCGGCCGCTGCTGCAGCAGCATCAGCAGCGGAGGTTCTACTCAGTGAGGACCAGCAGAGGTAGATCAAACCCAGACCGTGGGACTCTGTTAAAGTCCAGTCTGATCAGCAGTAAATCAGACTGTGGAGAAGGAGCAGTGCTGTTGGTTCAGCACCTGTGAAAGAGCACAGTGTATTAAAGGCTCATTCCACTGAATGAAGCTGTTAATCACTGGTGACTTTTCTCACTGTTTAATCACAGTCAACTTTGACTGAGGAAAACTGTTTATAGTGCAGACCAGAAGGTGGCGCTGCAGCAGATCTCACCGTCACTTTAACCAAACCAGTTCTTCCTTCACAGCCTGGTTGAGCCTGAGACCTCCATCCCAGAGGACAGAGGCCGTGTCACTACTGTGTTCTGTACAAACAAAAACCAGGAAGTCAACGTCACACTTATCACAGCAACAGCCCTTTCCTCAGGAAGTCGTCCGACATCGACCTGACAACAGAAGAACAGCCTCACCTTCTGCCTTCAAATTCATTCATCTGTCTCAGGCTCTTCATTTCCTACACTACACAGCAGATCATCTGCTTCCTCTACTGTTCCACCAACCATCTCCATGACCTCCAACACTACATCCACAAATCTTTCTTGATGTCCTCCTCTTCTCCATTTCCAGCACCTTTATCCACCATCTGTACCATCTCCACCCTCTTCATCATCTCCACCCTCTTCATCACCTTCACCTGCCTCTCTAACTGTCACAGAGAAAACTACAGGAAATCTTAGTTTGTTTTTCAGGCTCAGAGTGAAGAATTTACCCAGTGGCTTTCTCCTGTCTTTGACAGCTGGGTCACTATGAGAGCGCGGTGGGTCAGTGTGTCAGTGAGCTGCTCCAGGCCCAGCAGCAGGTCAGCTCTCTGCAGGCCAAGATCAGAGAGAGTGAGGCCAGGAACCAGGTGGGTTGACACAACAAAGTATTTGAATCCAGTGTGTGACTAGGTAGTTGATTATTCTGGACTGAGTCACTGCGTGTGTGTAGAAGCTGCAGGAGCGCCTCTGTGGGATGGAGCTGGAACTGCACTCAGCCCAAGAAGAAGCTCAACAGCAGGAAAGAAACATCCAGAACATCAGTGATGTTGTCAGCTCAAAGGAGGCAGAGGTGATGGATGGATGGATGGATGGATGGATGGAATGACAGAATGGTTTAAGAAAAGCAGGACACACAGGACTGATCAAATTCATGTGTGTGTGTGTGTACAGGCCTCAGAGCTCTACAGAGTAATAGAGGAGCAGAACAAGATGCTTTGTTCTCTCAAAAACCTTTCAAATCGCCAGCATCTCCAGGTATGATCTCTACTGAATTTTTTTAAATTTATTTCTTATTTTCCTCTCTGCCCCAGTTTCCACCAGCTCCATGTTGTCCTCACACTGCACCTCCACAGTTCATGAGTTAATATTTATCTAATTTTAGGGTGATTTTGTGGTGGAGAGACATTTTTCATTTGTGTTTTCTTCTCCCTTTTCACTGGTCTTGATCAGCAGCAGCCCCCAGGACCAGAAGGTGTCCACGGTCATAGAGAAGTTCTGACTCTGCAGGCCTCTCTCTTCCAAGCTCAGCTGGAGCTCCAGGCTGGTGAGCGGCTGCAGCAACAGGCCGCCAGGATGCAGGAAGACCTGAGCCGGGCTCTGCAGAGGCTGGAGGATGACCTGCAGGGAGCGCTGCAGCACAGGCGGGACACAGATAAGCACAATCAGGTGAGAAAAAGAAGTATTATTGGGGGGTCGGCGGGGGTCACCAGTCTAATCTGACTTTTCATAACGGTTGTGGACGTTTGAGTGCAGGAGCTGCAGATGGCTCTGGAGAAGACTCGGAAATCCCTGCAGGAGAAGGAGGCGCAGCTGAGGGAGAGTGAGTGGCAGATACAGAGGGAGAGAGAGGAGAGGGAAAAGAGCATCAGAGAGCTGAGGACATCTCTGCAGACCAAAGAGCAGCTGCTGGAGGTCAGACCAACACAACACAACACAATGTTGAACATTTCAACAGGGCTGCAGCCCATGACCCAGATATCGGTGTGACACCACTCAGGAATGTAGGCAACACAAGGTCCTGGCCATTATTATGGTAATGAGCAGACTGTAGTGGAGGTAACAACAAGAAACGAACAAAGCTGTTACACTGCATACACACTACTCTTTCTACAGACTATTATTATTATTATTGGAAAAAATCACAAGACAACAGAGACACACTTCTGTGTCTATGAATGATTGCGGGGTATTTTGCAGTTCCACTAGAATGCCACTAGATGGCGCCAAAGACCGCAGCCGTAGGACTAAACTTGGCCTGTTCTCTTCACTGACTCCATTTGTGTTTGCTGTGTTTCTGTCAGGACTACTGTGATCTTCTGGAGGAGCATCAGACTGAGAAGAGAGACTCTCTACTTCAGAAACTGCACCAGCGAATCAGAGACAGAGACCGAGCTCTGGAGGTAGGACAAGACCTGGATAAGATGGGATAAGATGACTGAGAACCTTCACAGACATCTGTTGTTCTGCAGAGAGCTGTGGACGAGAAGTTCCACTGTGTGGAGGAGAGAGAGGAAGAGGCTCGACGGCTTCAGCTGCTGCTCAGAGAGAAGGAGAGAGACCTGGAGAGGCAGCGCTGTGTGCTCCTCAACAACGAGGAGACCATCATTGTGAGAACACACTCACTCACTCACACACACACACACACACACACACATTGGCGTGTTTTCCTCAGCTGATCTTGACCTCTGTGTCCGCCTGTGTGTCAGAGTCTGGAGGTTCTGGTTCGTGGTAAAGCTGTGGAGCTGGAGCAGGTGAGCGAAGCCTGGAGGAACCTTCAGCGCCAGCAGGTGGACAGAGAAGAGAAGCAGAGAGACTCTCTCAGAGAGAGGGACACTATCATCAGCCAGCTGCAGGGAGCGCTACATACTCGCACACAGGAGACTCAGGTAGAGAGGAGGGCAGCACCACACCAACCACGACAAACGAGGGGATAGAGACACGTTGACGTTTTCTCCTCGTTTGTCCCTCTGTGCTGCAGGATCTACGCTGTTCTCTGCTCGCTCAGATCCACGCTGCTCCCACTGAGGTCCTGGAGGAGCTGAAGGTCCGTCTCCAGCTCAAAGACCGTCTCTTCCAGGAGGTTCTAGCTGACCGGACTCGTCAGGCCCAGCAGCACCAGCAGGAGGTGCAGAGTCTGATGATGACCATCAGCTCCAGGGACCAGTACATTCAGGTAGAACTGTGGAAATGGACTGAAGGAGGTGTGGATGTGGAGAAGATAACACGCTGTCTGTGCAGGACTGTGGGAGACGACTGGGGGAGGTGATGAACGAGCAGACGTCCAGGCTGCAGGAGCTCCGCAGACAGCTGAGCTCAGGTTTGGGCTCCAAGCCCGACTGTGGTACCGACTCGGTTCTGGAACTCCAGGCCCTGGAGGAGGAGCTGTGTTTGGCTCTGAGGAGGGAGAAGGAAAACCAGGAGCTGAGCAGGAGTCAAGCTGCAACTCTGGACTCCTTCAGCCGCACACTGCAAGTGAAGGAGCAGATCATCAGGGTCAGTAGAAGAAGATACTAAACCCACGAATGGGAACCGTTGATACAGAAGAGATTTGATATAATCATAATAATCTGATTTGATGTGAACAGGATTGTACAGTAATTATAATATAAAATTATTATAGTATAATAAATAGCCAGATAGATAGAATGTCTATTTATTATGTTTTATAACAGTTTTGTAAATATATATATAAAAATAAATATAAATGACCTGCCGGAGGAGAAGAACCGTCCTGATGTACTCCACTCCTGTCTTCTGTGTACATGTGTATTTGTCCTTTCAGGACCTTCAGAGTCAGATGGTGGATCCTTCAGACCTCCCTCTGGTAGAGAGGCTGACCCAGGAGCTTCAGACGCTGAGGGAGAACCTGGTGGAGCCTGACGTAGACCTCCCAGCAGGAGGTCCTGACCTCCGAGGTCATAACAGGCCCGGGGGCAGACAGCCTGAGTTTGGAGGTGGGCATCAGAGAAGCATGGGACAGTATCTGTGAGAGCAGCAGGAAGTGGTGTTGTGGAGACACCTGCTGGTGGAGGGTTGACATCTGTGGTGGCGTTTGACCTGCTGTACCACTAACACTGTAGAAGACGAGTGGCTTCTGACCCTCATCGTTTGCTTCTTTGGCTTTTTCTGCATGTGTTGAAGTATGCAGTTGTGTTGAATTATAATGATATTGTGTACTTCGGTTTTACGTTTGTCGACAATTAGCGTAGTTTTCCTTGTGGCGTTAAGTACACATTTTGCAAGACCTAGTTCATACTTGCCGTATATTGGCAATTTTTTAAAATGAAAGAAGATTAAACAAATATAAAAAAAAAGTAACACTTGTTTCATAGGATCTTTGTTTTAGCCACACGTTAGCACATAGCAGTTTAGCATCGTTTTTGGCAGTGGGGTAATGTGTTTTGTATTGTTCTAGTTGGACGCCCACTGTCCATTGACTGAGTGGACAACGTCTTTAAATATACTCAATTAAAGACATTTGACACGGTGTGTGTTATCAGTGCGCTAACGCATGCTAACAACTGCCGCTTCGTAGCCTGCGTTTAGTTGTTTGCTTTTACTTAGCTCATTTTTAGCTTTGTACTGGAACTGTAATTTAGCTGCGTGTTAGCGAAGATTAGCTCTGTGTTCAGTTAGGTTTTTTTTTTTTGTTTTTTTTTTTTTCACCGAGGTGGATTTTAACCAACACACACTTCGACTGCATTACTGCCACCTCTGTTTTTCACTGGTAAATATATTTATATATAAGTCATTGTGATTTTTAATTAATATATGCTTACGTTTGCACATATTTTAACAAAAACATCAGTGCTGTTTGATATCATTGTTAAACTGCCATTTCTAATCGTAAAATATTAAATCACTGCCCCAGGTTGTAAAGTCTTTGAATATATCTCTGGACTTTGGTTCAGAGTTTTGTTGGCAAACACAACTTAACACAAAATCAATCTTTTTTCTAATCATTTTTTTGTCAAATTATTTTAATTGCAATGCATTTTTTGTAGATTCAGATGATTCCCGGCCTTAAATGTGCGATGGACCTTTTTTAAACTAAAATTAAGCCGGGCCTTAAATGTGCGATGGAGCTGTTGGACCTTTTTTAAACTAAAATTAAGCCATCGTGAATAAACACTCTATCTTTTAATCTTTTTTTTTAAACAAAGATAACCAAAGTCCTTTATCACTTCATTAATATTATAAATTTTCTAAGATTTTTTTTTCAAAGTCAGTATATGTGAAAACTGTAAAATCATATTTAAGTTATAATGACGTCAGTTCTCATATAAAACTGTGTGTGTGCATGTGTGTTGGTGTGTTGAAACCCAGCATGTGTGTTGTTGTATGGAAATCTTTTTGTTGTTGTTTTTACAGTAACTCCTGCCTTTTGAAAACATGTTTTCTGCTTCTGTGATCCTTGAGACTCTGTGTAATTCAACAGCTTCATTTTTACTGTGTGCTTCAGTCAAAGGTCAATAGGTCACACAGGAACACAGTAAGTATGGAGGGATGTCATTATCATGATAAATATATGTTTATCTGCATATATGATTTGAAGTTTTGTCCAAACTAAACTATTAAGAAGTTAAAGATGAATCACTGAGAGAATGTTCTCCACAGTCCAAACATCCCTGTACACCTTCATAAATGAACACTTAAAACAAACACACAAAATGTTTCAAAGCTTCACATCTCAGTTGACGTTCAAACACAATATTTTACAGGTTCAGTCAGAGAATAAATCAAAATAACAGCCAAATAATAAAATTGTGATGTGGAAAACTACAATTTGAGGTGAAAATATTTTAATAAAATGATCAAACTTTACTCATAAATTTCTGCATATTCTCACCATCATCAGCATTGATCTCAGTTTGAATGACCATAACATGCAGATGTGGTCTGTGGTAACTGAACACCACGGGTTCTTGATAATAACAATAACAATAAAGAGTGAAGACATTTAATGAATGATGCTCCAGTCAATAAACATTTCAACTGATATATCTGTAAATCTTACTCTGATCCCACTCTGAAGAAATGAAAACATGGCTGCAGAGTCAGTGAACTAACTGACCTCAGCTCGTGTCAGTTAATCAATACAAACAAACCTGTGGACTCGACACACGTCTACTTCTATAAGACATATGGTTCTTTTAGCAGTCCACATGCCTTATATTGACCACACTAATTAGCCAGAAATAAAAAGATTTGACAGATGTGGGTCTGGACCTCTGGACGGCAGCTGAGTTAACTGGTTAATAAAATTGTAATTTTAAAGCTGTGGTAGATGATGATGATGTCATCAGTGAGCAGTAGTGATAGAAGTAAAGACAGTTTGATTGTTGCTGCTGATGTTCACGGAGTCTCTGGTTTCACAGATTCCAGTGATGAACAGAAATGTTCCCGTGAAGTCACTGTTTGTTCACATCTTTCTGTTTGTGTCTCCAGGTTCAGAGGATGAAGAGGATGATCAACTGAACAGTGATGAAGGTCAAAGAAAGGTCAAGTCTCTGAGCAACCCCCAGGTACACACACCACTGACCTGAACAGCCAGAACACAGAACATCACACAGTAGAACCTGCATCACTTTGCTGCTGTCTGAAGAACTTGGATTTTATTTGATGTTTTAGTTTTTATTAAAGGTGTATTACAGCTGTGACTCCAGCTGGCTGCGTCCCAAACAGTCAACCCTCCTTGACCATAGGCTACAGATACATAGTGGGCTAATTCACATTCAGGGCTTGAAATGACAAAAAAAAAAAAAAAATAGAACGGTACTTAACAACCTGTCCCTTTAATGATGAAGAACTCTCTCTGTGACAGAGAACAGAGGGATTAAACACAGTCTGGTTCACAGTTCCATATTTGTGCCTCTAAAACCTCTGCACTCTTTTATCACTGAAAGCCTGTCTGGTCTGAACAGGGCTGCGGAGCTCCAGAGACGGCTCCACTGAATGATCTACTCTTAAAAGGTCAAAGTCTGTTGGAGGTACAACAACTGGTGGAGCAGAAGAGGGCGGTGGAGAGGGAGCTGGTGGAGCTGAAGGCTCAGCTGGAGAAGACAGGATTCTCTTCACTTTCACAGATCAGGTTAGAGAGACCAGGACACACACGTTCATCTCTGCCCTGTTGAAGACACACAGTGTCTACTTCTGTGACCCACCATGGTTTCTGACCTTTTTGTTTCTTCTAAATAGGATCATGACTAACGTAATGTTTTATTAAAGGAAACCTGAAAATATTGTTGAAGAACATATAGTCAGAAACAGTCAGACTGTGATCATCAAATGTTACTAAACGTTTCTACACATTTCTCAAGCAACACTTTGATTTTTATCCACTTTAAAACTGTGTCTGTGTCTGATTTTAAGGAGAGCTCTGTTCAGCCTCCAAACAGAGAACGATGATTTGAAACGTCAGCTGACCGAAGGCCGACATGTGGAGCAAAAAAACTATAACGCCCAACAGGCTGTAGAAGAAGTTGAAGCAGAAGAGGAGGAGCTGGATGTGACCATCGAAGGTGTGGAGGTGGAGGAGGAGTTGTGGGAGACCTGGGACAGCGAACTGCCTCCCCCTCACGCCAACATCCAGAGTGAGGAGAAAGGTGGGAGCCAGACCTCCACCCATGAGTCAGAGCTCAGACTCACCAACTCCTCACAGGTAGAAGCCGCTCCACAGGAAAGTTTATGTTGTCAGCTTCAGTTGTTTGACAGTGCTGTGTACCTGTCCAGGCTAAGGAGCCACGGCCCAGCATGCAACAGGCCGCTGCTTGTCATGACAGTCTGCAGCAGAAGAGCAGAGAGCTGAAGGAGAGGCTCATGGTCTCTGAGGCCACGGTGCAGGTTCAGGCGGAGCAGCTCAAAGACTACAGGCAGCTGCTGAGTGAGTGTTGTTTCATGTGGTTCTTCCACTAAGAGTCAACTATCGTCTACAAACTCAACAACAATAACTTCTTCTCCTTTGATCCACAGACGCTGCAGCAGCGGAGGGAGCAGTGCAGCAGGACAGTAAACTGGTCCAGGTCGACCTGCAGGACCTGGGCTACGAGACCTGTGGTCGCAGCGAGAACGAGGCAGAGAGAGAAGACACTAGCAGCCCAGGTATTTTTTTTACATTCTATACTGCCTGCAGAGGGCGCAGCAGCTAAGTAGTCGCTGTAGGGTGTACACAAATTTCTACCTTTATCCAAAATATGAACAAAGGGCTTGTAGTTGCGCTCTTGAACCCTAGATGGCAGCAATACCCAAGTCTTCTTCTTCCTCTGTTTCCTGACAGAGTTTGACGATCTGGAGATGTGCACGTCTCTGGACTGTGGCTCTCAGTGGTGGCCTTCCAGCACCAGCACCTCCACCTTCACCAAAGCCACCAACAAGAGTTCCTCTTCTGGAGATGAGGTGTCCTCTCTGCAGCGACTGGTGGAGGACCTGCGCTCACAGTTGTCCCGTTCTCAGGGCGTGATCCGAGGCCTCCACAGTCGCCTGCGCTCGCTCTCCACCTCCAATCACTGTGAGAACTCCACCCCTCGTAAAGTCAACTGGAGCTTCCAGGCTTCACCCTCACAGAGCGGCACAGAAGACGACGAGGGATGGCAGTCTTCTGACGGAGGTCCGCTGCCCTCTCCTGGTCACTCTCACTCAGACAAAGGTCTTCAGGAGCTGGTGTCCAGAATAGACGCTCTGGAGAACCAGCTGAGGAAAGGAGGCAAGAAGTGTGTGGAGCAGGAAGAGGCGCCTGTCGGACAGCCAAGGTGAGAGAGAGAAATTTCCAGATGGGTTTTAATTAGATATAATTCTTCATCAATCTTCAATCAAAATGTTGATCCTTTTTAGGGCTTGTTATAACTTAAAGGTCAAGCTTTGTGCTGTTCAGTATGTTTTTCTGACTCAATCATAACATCATACAAATATATAGATATATAAAAAGTGGTTTAAAAAAAGTTACTTATAACTTCCATGCAATACTATGGGTGACCACTAGGGACAACAAAGCTCTTGTTGAAGACTTCATCGTTGCCTCTTCTTACCTGTGTGTGTGTGTGTGTGTGTTTGTGCAGTAAACTGGACTCTCTGATCCAGGCTCAGGCCAGAGAACTGTCTCACCTGCGTCAGCGTCTCAGAGAAGGTCGTAGCGTCTGTAACATCCTCACCCAGCACCTGGGAGACACCACCAAGGCCTTCGAGGAGCTGCTGCGGGCCAACGACATCGACTACTACATGGGCCAGAGCTTCAGGGATCAGTTGGCCCAGAGCAGCTCTCTGGCTCAGCGGGTCGGCGCCAAGATCAGTGGACGTGAGTCAGACCTGCAGAGACACTGGTCCACTGGTACCAGTCGGTACCAGTGAGACTAAAACATGAGTAGAAGAAGAAATACACACAGACAGGAAGTTGGTAAAGTCATGGCTCAAACAAAATGATAGTAAAAACACAGCTTTGTCTATGTGAATTATATTATACTTATAGTATAGTATATATGTTTCTATTTACATTATATTAAATATTTCTGTCATACACTGTATCAGTAAAGGTGGACTCTGTGTTTTCAGGAGATCATGCTGAAGACCCAGAGGAGAAGACGGAGCTGCTGGCCATCAGGTTAGTGCTCTGTGTGTGTGTGTGTGTGTGTTATTAGGAGCAGACTAATGAGGAGTTGACTCGATAACGACTGATAGACTCACTGCTGGATCGACGTCACTGTTAATTTGATAATTAATGATGGCGGAAGTCCTGGGTGGAGGGGGGAGGGGCCGGGACCTGATGTCCCTCTGCACTAACAGTGAACTGTAATAAGATTTTACTATAATATTTTGCAGGTTTAAAATATAACTAGGACTTGAACTTTAACTAAGTGATTCTGAATAATCAGGTACAGATAAAAATAACATACTTAAAAAATACAAATTAATTTTCCGAGTATGTTGCAGAATTTTATTGCAATTAATTAGTTTTATATATATATATA